GTCGGGCGTCCATCCGGAGACTCGCTCGAATCCTTTTCAGTGACCGGACGAATTTTTTCTTCCTTTACGAACGATATCGTACATTCTCTTTCGGCGACGGCAGCTTAATTCGATCTCGGTGTAACGCGGTGATAGTACGTCGTGAGAAAACTTTCGTGAAAACTCCATTTTAGTAAGCAATTAATAAAATCACGACTTGTCGGCGCAGCATATCCATCGAATTGCATTTTGATCGAATTTAAAATAGGCCCCGACTACGAAGTATGCAAATACCGATTGACGCGATACGATTAAACTAGTTATTTGAATATCATTATGTTTAACGTACAAATTCAATACGAAACCTATATTCAGATTGTATGAAATTTAATATTAGCATTTTACTGTGCTAATTTATAGGTAAACCATAAGAAATTGATAAAATAATGTATTTTTCAACATTATTTATAATTTATTATTATTACAGTCCGTAAATAGCAGGTAAAAGTTTGTTTTAGCAAGAAACTGTTAACTGTTTTCTGTGCATAAGGCATAACGTACAGTTATATGATACATCTGTAATAAATCCATTAATATCTATTATACTTATTCATTAAATTTAATTAATTATAAATTATTTTTAAAAATAATTTGCATGAAACAGTCAAGCACTAGATTTAGATTGTCGATATTTACGACGATAGCCGAAAAACCCGAATATTTTTTACGTCTAGCTGATAAAGTTTCTATTTTTCAAAACTAGAACATTTTTAGTCAGCGTCAGACGTCGCGCCAATTTCCACTTTAATTTCTTCATCCACGAAACAGGATATATTTACTGAATGACCTTAATAATTACGTCTGGATATACCGGTGTATCATTACAACTGTCCATAACAATTGATTTGTATGCTATTATATCTTATACATATATCAATATTTGATAAGATGTAGTCGTAGACGTTTATTTTCACTTGCGCAGTATAAATATTTTGTTTCATTTTAAGAAATATCAACCGGATACTCATAAGACGTCGGATGAGTGTATTGAATTATGTGTATAGAAATGAACAGCAGCACGAGTTTTCAAAGCTAAAAATTTACCTATTTAATATGACAAAAAATATTAATGAAAATTTTATAGTAAATGGATGGTTTGAAAATAGTCTATACGTAAAATAAAAATACTGATAAATATAAAGATTATAAAATATTGCAACGCAATATAACATCTTAAGAAATATTTATTTGCATAATATCCAACACATATACGTGTTCGTATTTCTTTTATTAATTGTACTTGTCGTGCACGCCTTTTTGATACTCTTCAAAATTGTCTGTGTCAAGAAAATATATTTATATATAGCATTGCTAAATCCAAGTCACATATACATATACAGACGAGACGTCTACAATACAGCATCCTATTATTGTGAAAGGTTGCATGAATTATTTCGCAAACGATCATTGCTGACTGCCATCTAGACAGACCGCCAATAATACTCGTTCTCAATTAACAACTAACGTGGAGCCAATTTGGGAAAAATCGAAGCCAGACGCGGCAACAAGATATGATAGCCGCAAATTGTCAGTTTTAGAATTATCTGAAGAGATTAAGTCTTACAGGCCATTCTAATACTGTTGTAACGAAAACATAGTTTAGAAAATTGACCAGTCAGCTGAAACAATTCATGATTTATAACATTATTTGCTTAATCTTTACGTTTTAGAATCAATATCTTGCAATATCCTGCATTTTCAGTGGCTGATCAAATGTTCCTATGATAACATTAAATCATCCCGTCGTATGTAAGTATCATAATAATGTCGTGAACTTAAAGCACAAATACTTATTAAATGTTTTTAAACGTGAAATCGCATTTATTATATTCTGCTTTTTTGAGATACAAATAACAATATGCAAATAAAAATTGTGAATTGCTTTATAATATTAACAAAAAATGGAAGATAAAAAATGATAATGTTATTTTTAAATATATACTGAAACACTTTTATATTTGAGATACTGATATCGTTTAGTCTTTTATATTTCAAAGAACATCTGTATTTATCGATTTGTTAACAGAAATAGAGATGCACACAATAAAACTGCGTTTACATACTGTCTGTGGCATATAAAATAAAATTCTTTTTTTAACAAAAAATACTAGAAAATGTCTCGTCTATGTTAAAAGCTGAAGATCTTAGCTTTTTAGCAGTGACCCTTTCACAACCGTTCGCATATGTGTACACGCATGAATGTACACAATAATATTTCCTTAAAAATTTGAAATATGAAATATAATGAATTATGAATTATGAATTATGTAGTAAAAACTTAACGTTTGCCATTAAATGAGCATAATATATGAGAGTTTAATGTTGAAAATTCTTGTTTCGTCACGTCGACCGGCATCTGTATACTTCATAAATGCACTCGAAACCTACTTTACGTTCAAACAGGACGCGAATCGATGAATTTACGGTGTCGACAAGTCGAAGAAACGAAAACGATGTAAGCGCGCGGCGCGCGCTGACTTCGTCCAAGTCGCGGCGCCGCACCTGGTGCGATTTTATGCCTGTGAAAATCTGCCGCGTAATCGACTCTAACATAGCCGTAACATCGTGCAAATTGTCATGCTATACCGCGCCGATGCCGGCCACTCGAGACGCGATGAAACGATCACGATCAGATCGGGCAGGTATCATCGAGGCAGGTAGTCATCGGCATAGCGATGGAAAAAGAGGAGCAGGGGAGGGGGGGGGGAGGAGGAGGTGAGGGAAGATGTTCCGGAGGAGAGAGAACGGTTTGAAACGCGCGGTGCGGCCCACGGAACCTTTGTGAAAAATCGTGTTATAACCCTAATTTAATTTTATGGCCGGCATTACGGCGGATTGTGTTGTATATCGGGGCCCGGACATAATGGCCGTATATGGCCGCGTATAATAATGGTGAAAGAGCGAGTGAGATGGGCAGAGAAGAAGGAGGACGCGCGAACGGATGGATAGAGAGAGGAGAGAGGAGCCGACGATGCGGAAGAGCGGGGAGGGGAACGGCAAAGGGGGCTAATAATCAGTTGTAACGCGAACCGTCGTAAACCGCAAAACAACGAGAATCGAAAGAGGGTGTGGAGAGAGAAAAAGGAAACGCGGCCGGACAACGACGACGGGACAGCGGAGGGTAAGGGAGTTGTATGTTTATATTTAAGGGGTTGGTGTGGAGGAGAGTAGGAGGTATCATTATCTCGAAAATGGAAGACGCCGGACTTTTTCATTCGCTTCTATCTCGGGCCGCTTTTGCCTTTCCCCCCGCCCCCCCGCCCGAGTCCTCGTTTTGACTCGCGGTCCCCTCGATAGCCGTCAAACGTGACCACTTGGCGCCGCCAATCGTAAAGCTCTCCCGCCAATCAAGCCGCAACTCGTCCTGTTCAGGACGCTAGCGAACGGTACGGCCGACCTCGCGAGCTACTTATAAATTATGATTATAAAGCTTCAGCGCAGGGTTTAAATAATATTTTTTTCCATCTATCTTTAGTTCTTTTATCTCAGTGCACGCAATAAAACTTTCTTTTTCTCTCTCTTTCGCGCTGCTTCTCTAAATTTCTTTCTTTTAATTTGCGTAAACATCTATATAATTTGTTTATTAAACTGCTATTAATAATAAGTTGATAAATACTTTGCATTGTGTAACTCACTCTTTCAGATTTTCAACGATCAGATAGATAATTTCCCCTAGTTTTATATAAAAATAAATTGTAAATTTATCTTATCGAAGAAAATCATCATTAAATTTTACAAGAATAATAGTTAAAATAATAAATATAAAGAAAGTCTAATTTCTTTTAAATCATATTTTTCTACCTACAATAATTTATATCTATTGTATTAATTTTTTATTTGTTTTATATATTATTCTTTTTGTATTTGTAATTTTCCGATTCTATTTTTCTATTTAGAGACTTAAGAAAACACTTAAGATTCAGAATATATGTGCTAATAAATTTTGCTTTATTTTCTCATGAACGACGCAACGTGAGAAAGCGGCCAGCGCGTTCTTGCGGACTCTCGATTTCCAGCGCATCGATCGCGATGACCATGAAAACGGCCGATAAACTCACCGTGTCGCGACTTTTGATTTTAGTTCGTTTCTTGTGCCTAAAATGCAAATGCGAAGCATAGGTTGTTTCTAAATTTTTTGCTTTTCGATATAGCTTGTAGATTCGACAGTACATTCCACATTTATGAGGAACGTTTTGATTAATTACGCGACATTTAATGTAAAGTATAATAATTACGGATTTACAGAATACAATCATATTTAACTTTTTTTTACTCGTGATCGTCCGATATTTGACGGTAACTGCTATCGCTACTCAGGATAGAAAAAAATAACGAAAATATTGGCAACGTCTGTGGAATGTCTTCGCCGGTGACCTTCCAGCAGCGGACCAAAGGAGCATCGCGGCGGAGGAAGGAAATCGTGCCACAAAATTACTATAATACGTCGCTCGTATCGGCATCGAGACAAGAGAGCAACGTATATTCCGTTATTATTATTGATCGGCTCGGACCGATATTAAAGTGGCCAGGGGGATCACTCTCTATGTTTACGTCGGTTCATCCGAAAAACCATGAAATTACTTATAATCAGCGTAAGCGGCGGTCACGAGGCGACGACGCGCCCTCAACTTGCCGTTACTCGCGTGATTATAGCACTAGGAGTTATTGTTAACCCACAATTACTCGCGCAGGGTGTAAAATACTCCATACTTTTTCAAATTTTGTAAACTGAACACCAAAATGTTCAATCAATCGAGCGTTATTGTTCACATAACCTATACGCATAACTTATATTTTACAACACAATACATAAACAATCGCTAGAAAATTGCATAGAACATAAAATTCTTAATTATCATGCTCAAAATATGATAAGTTTGCTTAATTGTGCCTTATTATTATTGAAATATCATAATTAATCGAATAATTGATGGCGTAATACAGTATTAAAATTTACTTACCAGCCGATGTTTTGCTGCAACTCGACGGCCGGCACTGTTGATGTCGCAATGATTGATGTACACGCCTTGACCTCAGTCTTTGCTGCTGGCAGAAATAACAATAACGTGATCAATTTTCTTCCATGGACGTGAAGCATAATACAAATATAATGCTAAAATTTACTCACCAGCCGACATCCCGCTGCTGCAACCGTTGGTCGGCACTTCAAATGCAGGAGTTATACGGCACTAATTATTCACTCGCGATTCGACCGGACAATTAATACGGCACTCCCGACTTTTACACACGCATTAACACTCCGCGACGATCGCGACGATGATGCGACCATTTTGATACTACCGAGATACATCGAATGCGTTTGAGAGACGCAACAACTTCACATTGATGCTCGTTAATATGCTGAGTAATGTCCGACGCAGAGCGATTCGATTGATTATACGAATGCTGAAAGGCTGATAATCGCGACCGCGCGCGCTAATTAATACTGCACGACGATCGACCGTCGTTGAATTCGGTATTCCCAATACTCGTTTGTATGCGAAATTCACTTCGAATGAGAGAAAACGCGCACGAAACGCAGAACGATGCTCGATTGCATCCGATACCGACTTCATCATTTTGCAAACTAAGCAACGGAATTTCGTGACGTCATGTATCACCTATGGCGATCATAATCAAATGTTGCCAACTAAATTTTTATACCAGTACTGATAGTTTTATCTTAGTACTAATTTTTATGTTTGTATCTGAATAAATAACGCAAAATATCGATTATTATCAAATATTTACGCAAAAAATCTATTTCCTACATTATTCCTCGTTATTTTTCTCGATATTCATATCATTAATTATGCATAAATTTTACAATGGAAGAAGCAAAAGACGTATATGCTTTGCATTATGCTATTCACGTATATCGAATTATAGAGGTTAAATTTTCGTGTTCGTTACACGTAAGACGACTGTGCGATATTGATACGGAGTAGAAGTAAACAAAATTCCGAGAAACGCTAAACGCTATTACCTTATTTATGTTTGGATACGCTACGAGATAAATAAGACGCCTAGCTCACCGACTGCCCTCGAAAAAGACCGAGAAAGGCACACGCAACAATTTTTATAGATGAGCATAAACTATTCGGTTACTTGAGTTACTATGTAACATATCCTAGAACACACAGCAGCCAATCAGATGGCGCGAAATGAGTGATGCTAAATGACACATTTCGGATCACACCAGAGCGTTTTGTTGCGCAATTCATACGAGACGCGAGAAGTCATGGCGGGACGACGCGGAAACGTCGAGTAAAAAGTGTTGATGTACGTATAATATTATCAATTCTTATCCTCGTTTTATTATCTTCAAAGCGTTGTAATCGTATATATTGGACATTCTATTGGAGAATTGTTGCAATGTGCTTTTTCCTCGCGAAATCTATTCTACGCTCGCGGCGCGCTTGTGGTCGATGCACGCTTTATTTTGGTTACCTCGCGATGAACAATCAAAATAAACTGAAACATTTTTAGACTTCTGCCGTACAGCGATCCTTATGAAAAGTTAGTTAATATGATTGCAAGTCTCTCGACATTCGTAAACACGTATAATGCAAATACTTGTGTACAGTCAATGGCATTCGTCGCATTATTTCCAACATTGCTCGTCGACTCTAATTGTAAGCGTCGGTATGAAGTTGCCCTACTTTGTGAAATTTTTCAACGTAATTCAAAAAAAGAAACAGTCAAATTGAGTAGCGCGCGATCGTCGTGGAGTGTTAATTAATGCATTTGTTTGCAATTATCAGTCTTTCGATAATCGTATCAATCGTGTCCATTATGTCGCGCCGAAATATCTCGAGAATATCGAATTGAATTACGGACAGTCGTGAAAAATATCAATATATAATGGCAATCTTTAACCTAACCTAACCTAATCTCTAGCACATTTTTCGACAATTAAAGCTAAATTGCGTTCGTCGTGTCGCTCAAGCATCGGCATGAAATTATCTTTGTCTTTCAAATTTTTTAATTGTATCAGTGATTTCGCGGGAATATTGAGGAAAACTTCGGACGATATTGTTTATCGGATCGTTATTCTTTCGCGACTTAGTAGTGTCAATTGTCGACCAACATGATGATGATAAAAGCATATAACGATAATTAATTTTTTTGATGATATTCTTGTTCGATGTTTCTTAACTCGCGATGCTGCTTATTTGAATCTATACATATTTATATTCGCAATGTTGAATTTTTCAATGAGTAACATTATTTCGCGCGTGTAATATTCGAAGTTGTCGGGATTGTCGTATTTTATGTTGAAACATATCGCGTGTATAAAAGTGTCGGGAGTGTCGTTAACCGGTCGTACTGTAGTGATAATTAGTGCCATGAGCGGTGTGCGTCTTTCTGGAGCAATGATGCCGGGTTGCCAACGGATTGTATAGGCAGATCATCATCTGTGAGTAAAAATTTTAGTATTATATGATTATTCATATTGCACAGTAGTAATAAGGTTCAATAGGTGATAGGAACTCATAACTGTGGAAAATATTGATAATTTTTGAAATTTATTTACCAAAGCTACAAAACAAGTTTCACATACAAATAATATTTTCTCTCTATTTGACTAAAAAGAAATAATATTATTGCACATAATTATCATAAAACATCAAACTTCGTTTATTGATAATTAATTGTACTGCTGTAATTGTTTTTATGCCATCACAATGTTTTCTCTGTTTCTCTTATATCGGTTTAAATATTAAAGAGGGCTATAATTTGCTCTTAGAATATTGAATATTGATTTTATTAAATCAAGGATTGAAGAAGACTTTTTACAATTACTATTATAACAATACTCGCGTGTATTCAAGTATCAGCAGCTTCGTATCACGGTTGGCGCGTATCGTACCTTTATAAGAGGTGGCTTTTTCCTCGATCACGAGGGAGCGGCTCAGGGAAAATAAAGCGAGAGAAAAAAGAGGCATGGACGCTATGGGAGAAGAGCGAGAATACGTCGTGCGTGTACACGCGTTCTTCTACGCGTATTCCCGCGAGCGAACAAGGCGGCAGGGTCAGGCCGGGTGTAGGCAGGAGTTCGACTTCGGCTGCCGGCCGCCGTAAAAACGTCAATTAAAGTGTTTTATTTGATCCTTCGTTAGAACGTTGAAATGGAATTTTGATTTATGGCTGCACTGCTCTCTCTCTCTCTCTC